GCTTCACTGTTCGCCTTCATAAATGCCTTCAATTTTGAAGGCTGTTAGACCAGCATAAAATGTTCACTGATGCGGTTCATAGTTCAAAACTAAGGCCGCGACTAAGATGCGCTTGGTGAAACCGTCCTGAACACAACCTGTGATGCGAGACTTTTTCCAATCTTCATTAAAAATTCAGCCTAATTCTTTAAGTTACAGAATTTGGTTAATTTTAAAAATACTTAGTTAAAAACTAAGAAGAAAAGTATTTAAAGAAAAACTCCTGTACTCTTTTTTAAGGTACCAAGTTTAGTTCACAGTTTAAAAAAATAAGAGAAAAAATCCTCCTTAGAACTGGTTTCTTTAAAAAAAATTGGTTTGTAGCCTTGGCCTTGCACATCACAACAAACGCGCGCCCTTCTTACCTGTACTTTTTGATGTTTTCGCTGCTGCCGTGTGAAGCGCCCATTAGGGGACTTTCAGCGAGGCGCCTTCAAGTACGCCTGGCGAATTCTGCACAGTTTCGGTTCCACCACTTCCGTTTCCGGCTGTTTCTTCTTGCTTTTCGTTTTTTTGCTGGTGACAGCTCGCAAAATGTGCGACAAGCTGCACAATTGAATTTACTCAATTGTTTTTCATTTTTTACACACAGTCACACACTTTTTTGTTGTTTACAGTAAAACAAATTGTTTTTTGTTTATTTTTATGTTATTTTTTATGCTTCTTGCGTATACTTAATATTTTTACTACAAATTTATGCATGCTCCATGTTTGTGTTGACATTTCATCGCCCGCTCGTACATAATTAGCGAAGTGCGTGCAGAAAGCAACCGGAAACAGGCAGCGTGCAGTATAATTTATGTGTTTTTCATTGGCTCATTTTGATTAATTATGCCAATCTAATTGAGGGGATTCAGATCCAATGTTGACTTCGTGCCTATAAATAATAAAGTAATTACATTTTGCTTATTCTCATTAAAGTAACATGCTTTTTTATTTATCTTAAATTTCTTAAAATGTTTAAAAATTTTATTTTCCTTCAGTTTGGGAAAATAATTTAAAAAATTTTATTTTTAAATATCATTATGGCAAGCATGACTGTAATTTCGAGATTTGCACTTGTTTTTTCTCATAAACATGCAAGATCTTTAAAAATTAAAAACAAATATATAACTTAAATAAAAAGCAAATTATTTAAGACAAAAAAATAAATATAAATAAGATAATGTGATTTAAATTTGCTTAAATCCAAGCCAAATTTCAAGTCGTAGCATCGAAAGCATAATTTATTTTTTGCTTAAAAAACATTGCATGTAAAAATATTTGTTGCCCTTATAATATTGAAATTAATGTTTTAAAATCTGAAATCATGGCTTGCAACATACAATTTGCTGCGTCATAAAAATTACTGTGCCTGATATTTTGCTATCCATGCATATTCCTTTTGGGGGACCAGAAAATTGCATTAGAGCTGCTGTCAGCGGCAGCGGCAACTTGAATTATTTTATAAAAGAGTTCACACAGCAAACTAATCTGGGCCATAACTTATGCGGCTAAGAGCAGCCGACTTGCCTGCAGATACGCTAGTCAGAAGCAGAGGCAGCACTTGCAACAGCAGCCATGTGGCATGTGCCAGCACATGAGGCATTTGCGCTGAAAAAATGTAATGAACGCTGGCCGTTTCAAGTGCCCCAAACGAAATGCATAGAGAAAGTTTCTCACATATCCTGCACAAATATAAATATATATATTTGCTGGCTCACATGCCATTGCACAATCTCAACAACAACAACAACAACAGCAACAACAATCAGAACAAGAGCAATAGCTGCAGGGCAATGCAACTCGTATTTGTAGTCCTTTATGCGTTTTGTAATAACAAACGGCGCGCCAATAATGCGAAGGTCCTTCTAATGAGCCTGACCCAGAATGCTGGCAAGGATGCAGCCAGCTGGCTTTCGATGCAATTCCCTTTAGCCATAAAATGTCAACACAACTGTAGATGAAAGTCTTTAAGCAGCCTTTTTAGCTCTAGTTGCAATTGCACTTGCTATTGCATTTGCAGTAAATGCAATCAACTGCACGCAGTACAACGAGTTAGTTTTGCAGTCAAAGTTCACACATTGTATGTCTGCCAGGTACTAAATGTACTAAAAGTTTAACAAGTGCTCTGCAGCAGTTGATACTTCTGTTGGTGTTGTTCTTGTTGATTTTACTGCTCATATTGTTCATGTGAAAAGTTTTGCAACATTCAGGCGCCGATATATGTTATATAAGTTGACTTCAATATGCAGCAATTCGACTGGCAAATACCCTTCTTGGCATAAATATAGCTATTACTTATTTTCAATTGATTAGCGATGATAAAACACAGCAAAGTATTTACTCTTAGAAAAATATATTCTTAAGCCTTATTCAAAAGAAATATTCTTTTTGTAAAAACCGTAAGATATACTTTATATAAATTGAGATTTTAAAAGTATAGCTTAGGGACTAGGGACTAGGTATCAAAAGCTGCATTTCTTCTGGACTCTCTGATTAAAGATCAGCGCAAAAGGCTTGCAATAAGTTTTTCACAGTAACTGTTACGCAACTGAAACACTAGACGTGCTAGTGGACAATTCCACAAGTATGTGTAGAATTATCCTGGAAAAGAGTTTATATAATATTATTGCCTTTGCTATCTGATTGCTAGAGCGTAATTTTAGCTACACGGCTGAAAAGTATGTAGATAGCTGTTATTTTTCTTTTCTTATTTTCAAGAGTCTTGGAGTCGTAATGTGATTCCTTGACGTGGCAATAAGCTGATACTGAATTCCGTCGTTAACTAGTTGATTGTAAAGGTTAAATCAAAAATATTTAAGAAAAGCAATTCTGAAAAAAAAAATGTAATTTCATTAAGCTGCTTTGTAATTCAATATGCTTGCAGTATTTTCATTTTTTTTTTTTTGTTAAATGCAACCCAACCAGATTGTTAGACCTTATGACGTCACAATTACCCGCTGTGCGTAACACATTCTGTGACATTATTAAAACAGCCCAAGAAAGTGTATAAAAAAATCGACAACAGCAACAAGAACAATGGCAACAAGTTGCCCTCATGGCCCGCATTGATTGTGTTTGCCAGGCCAGCTCATTTAAAAAAATACGACCCCCATTGTCCGTGACGTGCAGGCCGTGTCCGCCCGTGGAGTGTATATGCCGCAGGAGCCACAACAAAAACACACAGAACGCCGCCCGCAACTTCCGAGCAGGACAAACATTTAGTTCCTGCCGCTGTGACGATGGCGCGACGGCGACTGTGGCTGCAGCTCAGCCGCATTCTCGGTCTCATCCTCAAATTGTTATTGTGTTTTTCTTTTGCATTTTATTTTTGTTTATTTTTTTTGTTTTTTTTCGCCGCGGCGGATTGTTGCTTTGTTTCAGCGCCCGCAGCGACCGCACAGCAGACAGTCAACAACAACAGCAATAACAAGAATAATTTATGCTTGTTATTTTACTTTGTAAAGCAATTTATTTCGCATTCTTTTTGTTATAAGCATAAGTACATGTTTAACTCACAGTCTTGTTGATGTGATCGCTGGGGGTGAGATTGTATGCTGAGGCGATTTTGCCCCGGAGCGTTTTTTTCACGAAGTTAGCTCTGTTTTAATCTCGCCCACAAGTGTGCGTCGCCAGGTCTGGCAACGCTGTCAGCTGCAACTAGCTAAAGCTCTGGTCGCCCGCCCGCCTGCCACTCAGGCTTGCGTTGGGGCTTAAAAGAACATACACTTCCATACACTCTCTCACATACGCACACACGCACACAACTTTGTTGCGTGTTGGCTCTAATCCTGTTAGTTGCGGCTTTTTAATACCCTTGCAGCGGGCATTTCAATAGTGTATCACGATGTGTCCAGCGCCAAGCATGTGATATTTGCATCTCTCTGATAATTTTTGAACACACTTGTTATGCATTTGGAAAATAAACATTACACATTTATTTTTATATATTATTTTATAAATCTAATTTGTATCCTTATTCCCAACAATCGAGTCGATATAGCTCATCTGTCTGTTACAGAGTTGTCCTAATCGGACGACTATATCATTAAGATTTCATAGAAACAATTCCTGCCAAAAAGAACTAATTCAAAATAAAATATTGTTGATCTTCCATATGGCACAATCGGCTGACAAATGGAATTCTTTTAAGAAATATCAAAGTCAGCTTTATCATGAGTTAGGCAGAAGTATAATATATATATCAAAACCCTATATACGATCGCTCGAAAAATGAAAATCTTTGTTGCTTATGCTACCCATATATAGCCTTATTTTGTTTCTCAAGATATCGGATCAAATTCTCGAGATTAAAATCGGCAAATTCGAGCTGCATATGCTACCAATATAGCATTATATTATTAAGTACACATACATATATCTGACGTCAGTAAGGGTATTTGCTTGTCGGCCAGCAAACTATTTTCTCTTATTTTTTATTAGTTTTCAAATAGTAGTTGCTGGGACGTCCTGTGGGCAGCGCAGTGGCGCCTCAAAGCTATGCGTGTATTTTATGCTATTAATTTAAAGCCCCACACCTCTTTGCACCCCGCTTACACACACACACGCACACATACACACACTCCCACACACTCCCACTCACACGCACACCCTGGCCGCACGCTAAGCCAATAATGAACTAGGTGCCAAACTAATTGATTTAATTTTTGGTTTTCTTTTCTTTCTTTTTACAACGCTCTGAAATATGCAACAGCTAATTGAAAATACTTCAACCAGGAGTTGTGGGTTCTTTGTGGGTTAGGGGTAATTGTGTGCCCGCTGAGTAGTTTTTCATGTTGAGCGTTATTTGATTGTGCTACGTGACTGCCAACAAATCGCATTCAATTGAAATTTAAAATACCTTTTGCTTTGCTCCTATTTTTTTTCGCAGATTACGCACCCAGCGAAAACAATTGTGCCGCACACACGCTCGCACAACAAATCTAATATATATATATATATACACACGTACTTAGAGAAGAAGAAGAAAACCTATAAACTAAAATGGATTCCGCTGCAGCTGCTGCCGCCGCCAAGCGCGTACAAATCGAGAAGGCGCACAACTTTATGCGCCAATATCGCGATCCAGAGTCGCGCGAACTAAAGAAACTCTCGGCCAATCAGTTCATGGATGTCTGGGCGCATTACGATAAGGATGGTGTGTATTCCTTATCCTTATATATTTTTCGCCCAACCCGTTCCTAACTGTCTGTCTTTTTATTATGTGGCCGCAGGCAATGGTTATATTGAGGGCACCGAGCTGGATGGCTTTTTGCGTGAGTTTGTGTCCAGCGCAAACGCTACGGACATTAGTCCCGAGGTAAGTGCAAAGTGCAGACTCAGCACTCGAATCTAATGTTATCAAGAGCTCACATCAAATGCCCGCTCTTTGCCTTCCTTCTAGGCTGTCACCGACACAATGCTCGAGGAGCTCAAGTCCTGCTTCATGGAGGCATATGATGATAATCAGGATGGCAAAATCGATATTAGAGAGGTTAGACACATGTATTTTACACTCATGACTCACAACTGCTAAACATTCAGTGACTTTGCTTCAAACTTATTTCGTCAATGCTTTTGCTTTTTTTATTTTTTATTTTTCTTTTTGTGACGCCCACATGTCGTATGCTCAATGTGTCTGTACGTGCATATCTCCCAATGACATCTATATGGGGCTTAGAGTTGACCGCGTGTCGTGATTGAGAACTCGCTGATTGAATTCCCGCTGCGCTTGCGACTTTTCACGATTAATCAGGATACAGCACAACTGCCACACGACTTAAACAAAACTGCAGTCAACCTCAACTCGAATTTTACTCTACTCAACTAACTCAACCTCTCCTTACGATATCAACTCAAATAAACATAATGCAACATTAGCAAACACGAATCAATTACTTTCGAACACGACTGTACATGACTTAAACACGACTTTAACAAACCCCAATTAATCAATACGACAAAACTCGGCCTTAACTCTGCAGACTTAACAATATACAAAACTATAAGAAGCCTTAAAAACACTTAACACGACCTACGTTTATCGAAACACGATTTTCCACGAGAGCAACACGACTTCACACGAACACACACGTATCTATGTTCAGTAAAAAGTTGTCGGTTGTTTTTCTACCTCTTCTAACTATTTTTACCATTTAAAAAAAAAATACAAATGAAAAGATAGAAGGTAAAAAAATAAGACACGCGCACATCTCTAATTGAGTTGTTCGTCTACATTTGGTGTTGCCTTTTTGAAATTGCTTTTTAAATGATGCTGTCCTGCGTCCGTTCTCTGCTTGCGCCAATTTGCTGTGGCTCAATAATTTATTTGGCCATTTCGCCATTTGCCAAGGCCCAAAGTTTCGTGCCAAGGTCTGTGCAAAAGTTTTTTCCCGCTACCACCTTAAAATGACTTTTTAATTGAGGCTTGCAGCCGATGCCGCCGGTGCCGCAAGACTATCGCAAGTCGCTTTTGTGCTATGCGAATAAGAAATTGAACGAATGTAATAAGAATGTTGTCTACTTTGGGGCGTTGTCATATGATAAATGAGACAAAGTTTTCAGCCAGAGCAACAATGAAAAACCTGCCTCTATTAGTAAATGTTGTTTCGTCCAACCCTTTGTGACTTCAAAAAGCACTCGTCTGCCCAGATCCTTCATCATTTATTCATTTCTTTGAAAAATGTTACGCATACGCCATGTGCCAGCTGATATCTAAACATTTGCAACTTTTGCTGTTGTTTTCAAGGTCCGAGTTTTGTTTGAGTTTTGTCCTCCTTAATCACAGCCCAAACACTAATTAGCTTAAGTGCTGGCCAAAGATATCAAAACTGTTGTTTAATGAATTTAAAAGCAAAAACTTTCTATATGACAGGGGGGTCTAACTTCACGGCAAACCCATTTCAATGGATGTTCGACATGACCGAAATTCAAATCAACACTTAAATTATGCGGCCAAAGTTTTGCGTTGCAATACACTTTCTTTCTCTCGTGGAATTGAAAGCGACGACTTTGCTTTTAGTTACGCAAAATATTTACACTGAACCAACAATGCAAACCCTACCCGCCCTGCACCATTTCGCCACCCCCTTTCATATGCCCAAGCGGCTTAAGTTTGCAGCTGCAAAATTGTTTGTCATGTTGTGAAAGGCGATTTACTTCAATTTTTGTTAGTTCTTCCGAATAGTTGAAGTGGAAGGGCTCTAAGTTTACTTAAATTTAAGTTTATAGTTCGCGAAAAAACAACTGAAATTAATTGAGCCTAACCCAGCTCTAAAACACATTATTATACGCTTTTTGGTTTTTTACACTTATGTTTTGCTTAAAGCTTAGCCTGTTGATAAATAAAGCTCATTCACAGCTAAATACTCAACTAAAAGCTGAATATTCAACTAGATATAATCGTTTTTTTTTTCAAACTGTTTTTATTAATTCTTGTCTTAGGTCATATTTTTACTTTAAGCTTATAGTCACTTGAAACTCAAGTTTTTTCTAAATGATGCTCAGGCATTTCTTTCGCTTCGCTAGCACATATTTTCGTTTTGAAAAATAAATATATATATTTACAGCTCGCCCAACTTTTGCCGATGGAAGAGAATTTCCTTTTGCTCTTCCGCTTCGATAACCCCTTGGAATCAAGCGTTGAATTCATGAAGGTAAGTGCTGGTCAACGGAGCGTTAAACGAGGAGGCTGGCTCCAATCTGACCCAACTGGCTTAAGTAAATGCCAAAGCTGTCAGTCTGAGCTTATACAGAATTGTTGTTGCTTTCTAATTAATTTTTGTCATGATGTCACTTTGTCGATTAGATCTGGCGTGAATACGACACTGATAATTCTGGTTACATTGAGGCGGATGAGCTCAAGAATTTCTTGCGTGACTTGCTCAAAGAGGCCAAAAAGATCAATGATGTCTCTGAGGATAAGCTCATTGAATACACAGACACCATGGTGCGTATACGTGATATTTCACTAGATAAACTATTATTCATTATATATAAATAACTACCACAGCAAAAATAACAACAACAGTTGACCAATCAATGTCAATGTTGGCCTCAACGCTTTGTTGGCCAAGTCTAGCGTAAAATATTGCAATTAATTTTTGGCGTGACGAGAATTGTGTGAATTTCCGCCGCAATTTATATGCATTCAAAGTCCTGTTAATTAAAAACTTTATAATGGAAAAGCACCATGCAGATGTGTGTTTGTGTGTGTGTATGTGTGTGTGTGTGCCACGCAGTTTGTTGTGCCTGCAACTTCTAAGACCGACCCCTCATCCTGGCTCTCCTTTTTGCTCTATTGCCTCTGGTTAGTTGTGCCTGGCTCTTAAATTCCTATCTACACATTATTTTTGGCGCACGTATCACAATAAATGATGATAAAAATGTTCTCGTCGGCAAAACTCGCAACTCATTTGCAAGTTAAATTACCAGCGTGCAGAGCTAGGAGCAAAAGTTGTCAAAGATTAAATGCACTTTGAAAATTTTTCAACAAATTGCTTCTATAAAATATTGCTCGACAATAAAACAAGAAAGACTTAGGCTTAGATATATTTTAAAACAAAAAACTTATTCACTCAAGAGCCTCATTACATTATCTAAAGAGTCTTTAGAATTTGCGTAATCCGTTTGCAAAACAGATTGCCGAATTTTTTAATTCAAGCTACAAGAAATCAAATATTAAAGAAGAATTTACCAGGTAGTTTATCTTGCAGTTAAATGCATATTTAATTGGCTAAGAGTATTAAATCAAGCTACAATCTAGACTACTTACGCTACTTACAAGAATTTAGCAGAATTTATTTTAAATATAATCGTCTCGAATCGAGCAATAATTTCATATGTTATTTGCTTAACTACTCATAAGAATTTACCAGGTAGTATATCCGGTAGTCAAATTAAAATGTGAAAATTTGTTCGCCTTGGCAAGTTACGTGGCTTTAAAATATTAGCATTCCGTTAACTAAATGATACTTGATGTTAATTTCTAACAAAACACAGCCCTAGAGAATGCATTGCTTAACTGAGGCACCATTAAAAACATATTTTGTATTCTAGGAAATGAAATACATTTCAAGCCAACATTTAGTCCTACTTTTATTTAAGAGAAGCAAAAGTCATGCCAAAAAAGCATTTGGTAACTTATTTAAGTCGATTTACGAGTATGTGTTCATTTTAGGGGCTGCTATACGTGGTCCCAAGAGGCGCCAACCTATTTATGTATCATTAATTAGGTATAAAACTTCTGTCATTGAGCTCATTAAGCTTACTTACCATCTTTCTCTCTCTCTCTCCCTCTCTCTCTTTTTGTACTCAAACCGCAGCTCCAAGTGTTTGATGCCAATAAGGATGGTCGTTTGCAGCTCTCGGAAATGGCCAAGTAAGTAGAGCAATGCCAAAGTGCTTGTCAAAGACAAAACGACCAACTTATTTATTACAGACTACTTCCGGTTAAAGAGAATTTCCTTTGCCGTCAGGTATTCAAGGTAAGTGCCAAGTATTATGACTGCCATTGCAACAAGGCAATTTAATTCAAAAACTAATCAATGACTGACGTTTTTGTGCCGTTTCTTAAACTAAAACTATGTATGCTTATACGAAACTGGCTAAAGCCAGGCTTACCCACTGGCACATAGGTTAACTTTAGCTTTAGCTTTGGTTACGAACTAGCTGCCGCCTGAGCTAAACAGCAACAAGCAACTGGCTATGCAAGCGCAATGCGTATGATTTTATTGCGTTTTCCTTTTTTTTATTTTGATTTATTTTTTTTTATGTTTATTTATTTTAGCGTCTGTGTCTGCTCAAATAGATATCAGCCACGTTGTGCGCTATAAACGTAAAATAAGAATCCAGCGAAGTGCACAAAAGCTTTGAAATTGCAGAGCACAGCAAAAACAAACAAGGCAAAGCATGCCGGTCGGCTGTTATCGACTGCGCCATGCTCTGTTTTCAGGCTAGTAAAAGTGGGTCGAGTACGATTTTATAGAAATTGGCAATAAATCTTGAACTGTGATTAATGATTAGAGAAAAAAGAGTAGGAAGACAGTTTGAGGCGTTTGTTCGTAAGCTACCTGCTAGCTGTGGGAGACATTAAATTTTTATCTGATGCTGTTAAACCAAGGTAAATAGTTAAAGTTTGATGTCTCAAAACGAATGCCGCCAATATGCTCCTGGCAGAGGTATAAGAAAAAGTTGGAGGACACCATGGCGTATGCGTGATGTCAAGTTAGTAAAACACGGCACAGAACCAAAACACCTGTGCGCTGTGCACCTGGTTAGCTTGTCTGCGGGGGGCATGTAGAACTTGCTGAAATCAATTCCAGCACAACGCCCAGACCTCGTCATCTTCGCCACCATCCCTTCAATATAATTGTGCTGCGTCAGCAGCTCTTTTGCGTGTCGCTTGAGTATATTGCGAATAAAAAGCCAGAGTTTCTTGTTTTTCGCTGTGAATAGGCAAACGAATCACTTTATTCTGATTATAAATACAAGCAACACAGTGAACGCTGCTATCTGCGCCAAACTTTTGACTTTCTAATTAGGCAGACAGACAGACAGACAGACACCTTGGCACACAGCAGCAGCTGGCACCCTAAAAATGTTGTGACAATGGCTCAGAGCTCGACTCTGAGCTATTACCTTGGGATGAAATTTAGTTTGGCTGAATTTCAGAATTTATTTGGCATTTAATGCTTAAGCACAGCGGCTGCTCAAAATGTGCCCATTGAGGGTTAAATGGAGCGCACAGCTCAGTCCACTTCAAACGCTGCTCTCTTGTGGCCAATGACGTCCATTGTTGCTGACCGACAGACTGACTGGCTGGCTGGTTGCCGGAACGTAATTGGTCACCAGGCCACAAAAAAAAAAAAAAAATCCAACTTGGCTATTACTTTGCCAGGGCCATATACGTTGCTCCAACTTTGACTGCAATATTTGCCAGATTATTTGTTGTACTTTTACATTATTTTGGCTTTCAGCATGCTCAGCAGCATTTGAGCTAAACAAAAGGCGCATGCACAAGGGTTATTCAAGCGTTAGAACTGAGAAAATTATGTGTAGTCGAATTGAAATCACAATATGATGCAGCTATTGAATAACTATTGTAGTTTTTATATAAATGAACCTTGCCCAGACGTTCCATGAGTTCAGATTCACATTTGTGTCCTATTCTGGCTTAGCATCTGATGCGGCTCGAGATTTAACATTTAAATAATGCTTTCTGAATTAATTTAGTAATTACAAAATTCCACTTAAGTAATTACTTTTTTGATGATTTTAAACCCAATAAAAGACGTTATGTCAATAGGCTTATGTGGACTTATCTGAAGACACGCTGATGCGACACAATTTCAATCTCCTGACAAACCCTAATGCTCGGCTTAGCTGAGCCTGTGTGTGCGTGCGCGTGTATGGCCCGCAGCATTACTTGAGCAAACTCTTTGCCATTATTTTTACCGCAAGCAGATGTCCGACAATGTTCATGGTCAGCTACATGGCTTGACATTGGCTGTGCCTTCCGGTTTTGCTATTGTTGGTAATCAACTGGCTTCGACAGGGTCAGCGAAGCGTTGCCAGCTTGTGAGTCTGTGCTTATTGTTATTTGCAGCAAATGCACGTGCCGCAGTCACAGTTAGGCAGCTTACACACAGATCTGTAAAGAATTTCCAGCTGAAAACTTAAACTTGCCACGCGCACACTGTTCAAAGGTGCTGTCCAAACTTGTGGTGTCACATGGCGTATGCGCAATTTTAATTAAACCACACTAACCGCACTTGTCAAGTGGATTTTAGCGAAAGCTGAAACTGCAACTGATAGACTAGCTGATCGTTTCGGGTTTCAATGCTCGCCTTGTTGGATTTGCATGGCCCGTTTACAAAAAAAAAAGACAATGACAGCAATTGCTGTGCAACGCGGCGGATGAGCAATATGCCGCGTAGCTGCAACCGCAGCCCATGGCCAATGCGAGTCACATTTACAGTTTGCCGCCGCACACACACAAAGTCAACTATTTGCCCATTGTTACAGTTGGCAGCACAGCGACATTTTATTTGGCTTTTATTGACAAGCCACCCCCTGCCCACAGCCACCTTGGTTACGCCCTATGCATGTAGCACATGGGGTAACAAGTTGCAGTAAAGTGTGATACATTGCCAAGATACAAGCTACACTCGCCCTTATTTCTGCTGCCCCGATTTCTGCATCAGCGGGCAATTATAATGCACATCAGCTGGCTATATGCAGCAGTCGTTAAAATCATAATTTACCTGCCGCCTGTGCCTCATGCGGCTCAAGCCGATAGACATGCCACCTGGACGCTCGTCACATTGTTGCAGCGTTGGGCAATAAAATGCCAAAAGTTTAAGCAGCCATCAAATTGGCATTTCCAGCCCATTTGGCCATCACATAATATGCATTAAGCTGGATGGAGATGCTGCGTGGGTTCATTCCATTTCGCAGTAAACGTAAACATAAATAAATGAAAGCATGCATCAACATTTTTACAGCCGCCAAGTGGCTGCCAAAAGACTTATGAGTTATGCCATGCAGACTGCAGAAATCAAGCAGCAACAGCCACCAGGTAATTGCCAGGTTCAATTACACTGCATAACAAAAAAGGAAACCAAATTGTAAGCACAAAATAACCCAGCCGAATGCCAGCCCGGTTGAGCTTTCTAAGTGGCAGCAGTCATTAGGGCAACTGTAAAGGTCGGTGGTTCAAAGCCCCAGGGTGGGTTTACTATATGCTTAAGGCGACTTTCGACACCGTTATATAACTCAAATAAGTGCTTAAATTAAAGTGTCCTCAGTTTTGGTTCCAATCTCCAGGGTACCCAGTCAATTAGGCAACTTGGCAAAGAAGTTTCCGGCTCAAATCATCAACTTGCGCAACTCTTAGTCTAAATATTTAAGTTAAGGCTGGTTACTATTAACAATAGTTCAAAAATAAAACTAAATATGCATTATTAATAAATACAAAGCAAAGCAAAAATAGCTCTAGTTAAGAATGCTAGAAGATAATACAGGGTATCAATATATACTTTTGGTGGCATAAATCGAACTAGAGTATTTACATGCTGGATAATATCCTTTGCTAAGCTTTAAAAATCTACAAATAGATATTATATGCTGTACTGTAAAGAAATTTACTACAAGGGAAAAGGGAAAGTCACAAAATGAAAAAATTGGAATTGACAAAGGAAGAGAAACAAACATGTTTAGATTAAAATTGAAGACGTATGCTCTAGAAAGTTAATTTGAGGATATTCAACTAATTAAAGATTTAAATTACATAAATTATAACAATTTTTTTAATAGGCTGAAGGCGTCTGTTTCTTCCCTAAATAATTGTATGAATATGTTAATATGCATTCGCTAATATGTGGGCCCTAAATTCCTCTACTGAATCCAAAATGTTCGAAATACACATGCAAATCATAAGCATAAAGCCTATATGCACACACAGGGCAGATTTGATGAGCCCAGTTGACATTTAACTGAACTCTGCTCTGTGATGTCAAGTATTTAGTTTGGGGGCAAATGCCACACCATTTGCACAGCTTAATGTTGCGCTATTTAAGCATTTTATGGCTTTGTGGCATTAAAACTAAATTGCTGTTGCATAGTGTTTAAAGGCAGCCGCTTGACATAGCGCTCCTATTTTTTTATTTTATTTTTGCAGCCAGCTTGGCTCTGTGCCAATGTGCCGTAACGGCTTATGCTAATGCACATCACGTATACGACGCGTGTGTCGCAAATAATGCACAAGAGCTGCTGCGGCTGGAGCTGCAGCCAGCTTTAAAATGCGCATTTGCTTGTGGATAAACTTTTGCATTAAATGTGGCTTCTCAAATTTGCTGTAATTGTATTGTGGATGCCGGGATCACGGCATATGCTGGCCATTTTGGGTGGGTTACCTTTTCACTTAAAACTTTCCCGCACGTTGTGCTCCACACTAAGGTGCATATTTTTGTTTACGCCACTTTTAGGTTGCCTCTGCGGTGTCATTTGTGCATTTTAGTGCAGGCAGCTTACGTGAGAATGTGGCCAAAAGCAAAAAGCAGCTAGCCACAAGCCACTCGGCTGACACAGACAATTTGATTTTTTGTTTTCATTTTTTTTTTTTAGCTCTTTGCACTTTTAAGCAGCAGCAAATTTAGCAAGACAACAGCAATTAAAAACCTTAGCTACAACTTTGACTAATTGGTCTTGCCTGTTGGTTAACTAGACGTATACTTAATATAATTCAAATATTTTTAGTTTGCTGCATTCTAGCTGGTATTTAGCTTACTAACCGAAAAACTAGAACTAGAACTATTGCCAACTAAACTAAATTGCAAACAACTTGCGCACAAGCGGCCAAATAATTGTATTTAAATTATAATAATTCGATCAAATTAACAACAAATTATTTAGCTGCTGTGTGCACATATATATATATATATATTTAGCTGAAATATTTTTTAATTTACAATTGAAACCAACTTTTTACCAACTTTCTCTGACTTTCTTTTTTTCATTCCCCCGCCTAACCCTTTCTATTGCAACTCTCTTTATGCCTAAACCAACTGCAACTACCTAAAAAAAAAAAAAAAAAACAACAACAACTGTATCTATATCAACTGTATTTACGTATAATCTATATGCATATATATATTTCTACTTTAACTACAATCAACACTTGTACATTTTTTTTAAATCAACAACAACAACAAAAACTTTTGAAAC